TTTAATACTGTTGCAATTACACCCAAAGCTACTTAAAAATATTTTTTAAATTAGGTGGCAAAGCTTTAAAATATTCAAGTTCAATTTTTAAAAATGACTTAAAGGGTTAATAAAAGCACAATAAATTTAAAACAATTCACCCTTTTAAAAATAGAAGCAAATAAAATGTTAGGTAGGATTAAGGGCATAACTGTATTTTAATACAGGTAAAAAAAAAATTAAACTATTCAGTGTAATGATAGATTTAGAAAAACAACCCTAAAATCTTGGGTTGCTAGTTGGAAAGGAAATATTCAGTAAAAATATCCAGAAAAAGAAATGTCAGGCAGTAATGTTATACATTTCTAAATATACCACTACTAAGCAACAAAAAATTAAAGCAGGCCAGGGACGGTGGCTCATGCCTGTAATCCCAGCACTTTGGGAGGCTGAGGCTCAGGAGTTTGAAACCAGCCTGGCCAACATGGTGAAACCCTGTCTCTACTAAAAGGCAATTAGCTGAGCATGGTGGCGTACAGCTGCAGTCCCAGCTACCTTGGAGGGGAGGCATGAGAATTGGTTGAACCCAGGAGGCACAGATTGCAGTGAGCCATTCCAAAAAAAAAAAAAAAAAAAGGAATTCAAAGCAGTTTTTATACTTAGTAAAATTGAGAAATGAGAAAAAACTTTATCAACTATAGAAGTATTTTGGAGGTTAAAGTCAGCAACTCCCTCTTAAGATTGTGCCACCTTTTCTCGGCATTTTTGTCAAATGAAAGTGTTTTTGATGTTGCTTTAACTTTTTTCATGTTCCTATTTTCTTTACATAAGCATAGTTAGTAGTGATAGTTTTCCTTATTTGATCAAATCTTCATTTTTTTTGCATTAAAATGTGCCTCTTAAAATGCTATCCATAATTAAAATGTCCATAGAAAAGTTACCGTAGTTTTCTCTACGTATGCTTAGTTAGTAGTGATGTTTTCCTTATTTGATAATTTATTTATTTTTTGCATTAAAATGTGTCTTTTAAAATGTTACCCATAATTGGATATCCATAATATCCAATATACATGTCCTACTTTACTGTAGTTCAGGAGTTTGAAACCAGACTGGCCAATGTGGTCAAACCCTGTCTCTACTAAAATGCAAAAAATTAGCTGGCGTGGTGGTGCACAGCTGTAGTCTCAGCTACCTGGGAGGCTGAGGCACGAGACCTGCTTGAACCCCAGAGGCAGAGGTTGCAGTGAGCCAAGATTGTGCCATTGCACTCCAGCCTGGGTGACAGGGGGAGACTCTATTTCAAAAAAAAAAAGTAATGTACTTAGTTTACTGTACGACACGTATATTAAATAATACAGCTTGGCTTATGATTTGCTTAAATTTGGAGAAACTATCAAATATTTAACTAGAAGTCTCCCAGGCAAGCAAACTGCTTGCTTTTCCTTACTGAAAATTATGTTGACTTTTTTTCTGCAACTTGTCTTACATGTGCTCATGTTTGATTCCAAAGCTAGCGACATGACCTAGGCAAATTTCACAGGACTTCCTGACTCCAGTCCCTCTTGGTTATAGGCTATCTTACAGCTGCTGCCATAGTGTTTAAATCGTTCTTGCTGAAGAGCCTAGGTAATTTCAGACTGTTCAGTCTAGTGTATGCTACAATCACCTGATTCCTCCACCTCAATCCTGCCCCTCTTCTTTTGCTACCTGCCACTCTACTTCTGCACCTGGCCTCTCCATCATCTGCTGCTAAATGAAATTCTCATTTTTGTGATAAGAAACCCAATACCTTCCCAAATCATCCCTACTCGACTTGGGTCACTTTTCTGTATTTCTTTATCACCAATGAAACCAGTTTTTACTTAATTACTTTGTGTCCATATGTTCTCATAACTATACATTTATATAGTTGCCTACATCCCCACCAGTTTATACCATATGTTCTCATAACTATACATTTATATAGTTGCCTACATCCCCACCAGTTTATAAACTTAGTCAAAGGTCTTCATCTTCTACTGAAATCCTATTTCAAAAAAACCCTTCAGTAACTGACTCAAGATGTACAACTTTCTTTTATAAAATGTGATTTTTAAAACCTAAAAATATATGAAAAATATGAAAGGGAATTTAACAAATATTAATAGCAGTTACCTCTGGAAAATTTCAAAATGGGAGTTGGGAGGGGCAGGGCTGGTGGTAGTAATGTACCTCAATATATACCCATTACCTAAAATTGTGACTGGCACATGGGTCTTCAATGAGTATCTGCTGAACGAATGACCAGAGTCTAAATGTCCAGTCAACAGTATGAACTGTTTTTGGTAGGTTCTTTTACAATCTTTAGTACTTCTTAAATATTCCATAATGAACTTGGATTTCTCATATAAAAATTCACACTAAAAAAGATACACAAACAAATCTGACACGGAAAGCATGACAACCAAATTTGACGTGGATAAAGTTTTAAAATTCAGTGCAAGGTTTGATTCCAGTATTTTAAAACTTTTTGGAAGACAAGTACCCTATTGAAAGCGGATGGCTTTTAAAACATCTAATGATACAGAATCCTGATTTGACAAACTAAAATAAATGTTGCAATAATTATTTCCTCCAAAGAAATTCTTAATCCCATGCAAATTCCCTAGCTGTTGCATCCTGTTCTGTGGCTTTAAATACTATCAATATAGTTATTCCCCATTTTATTTTTAATATACTTTTTAGAGACAGGATATGGCTGTGTCTCAAGTGATCCTCCTGCCTCAGCCTCTCAAGTAGCTAGGACTACAGGCACATACCAACACACCCAGCTAATTTGTAGAGATGGGGTCTTGCTATGTTGCCCAGGCTGGTCTCAAAATCCTGGGCTCAAGTGATTCTTCTGCCTCGGCCTCCCAAAAGTGCTGAGGTTACAGGTGTGAGCCACCATGCCTGGCTTAGTCATTCCCCACATTAATTTTCTCCCCTTAAACTCTACACTCATATATCCAACTGCCTACTATGCAATGTCTGTTAGGATTATTAATAGGAATCTCAAAACTCAGTACTTCAAGGCAGATTTTGATTTATACCCTCCAATTTGCTCCTCCATTGGTTTTCTTAAATCTCAGCTAATGGTAGCACCACCCTTCTAACACCAAAAATTGGAGTCATCTTTGATCTTTTTCTTCTTGTTCACATCTAATCCATCACCATATCTTATCAGCTCTACCACTAAACTATGCCCCAATTCTGACTTCTCCCCATAACTATCACCCCCGTCATCTCTCACCTGAATGACTGTAAGTCTAGTCCTCACCTTGTTCCACTGGTCTTTTCTCCACTGACGAGAAATTTACAACACACCACACGTCTCCTTCACTTAAAACCCTCCAGTGGCTTCCCATCACAATCAAAATAACATCTAAAATCCCTCACTATAGGTTTATGGCCTTAAATGGTCAGGCCTTTGCCAATCTCTAGAACCTCATCATTTACTATTCTCCTCCACACTCAATGGACTTATCTTACTGACATTCTTTCTTTCTCAGCAAATAATTTCATTTCTGCTTTGGGGACTAGTTTTATTGTTCTCTTCATCTAGAATGATTTGTTCTTTGTTCTTGGTCTAATTTTCCTATCATTCAAGGTTACGACCCTATAAAATCATGCCCTCTACCACCATATTCTGCCTCATTTTATTCACAGCTTCGGAAGTTATTTTGTATTTCACTGCTCTCTTATCTACTAGAATTCAATAAACTCCAGAAGGCAGTAAAACTTTGTCTTGTACCCCAATGTACCCCCATTACTTAAAATAGTGAGTGGCACACAGATCTTCAATAAATATTTGTTGAGTGCATGGCTGAAGAGAGTCTTCACGTTCAATCAAGCGTCCAGGGCATGAAAACAAAACAGTTGCTCCAACTCGTCTATGCTTTGCAATAGCAACATCTCCTTCCGTCCCCCACAAATAGCCAGCTACCTCCCACAAAAATTCCACCCCAAATCTCTTTAGAATATACTATTTTAAAAGTCTATGTTCTGGATCAGCTGTTGCAAAATTATAAAACAAAACCAGAGCCTCAAATACATGTAGCTTTTATGCACACGGGCCAAGCAGCATTGCCCTCTTCAGAAACTTTTCTCAGCTTTGTGTCAGCCCTTGGCGTACATTTCTATCTAATTTCATCTAAGTAAACTGCATGTGCTGGGGTACAGATAAGCAAACAAACTGGTGCTATTTGCCTTACGTTAACACTCTCAAAGATGAACCTGGCTCTGTATCCTTCTTAGGAGGGTCCTATGGCCGGGTGCAGTGGCTCACGCCTGTAATCCCAGCACTTTGAGAGGCTGAGGCAGGTGGATTACCTGAGGTCAGGAGTTTGAAAACAGCCTGGCCAACATGGTGAAACCCTGTCGCTACTAAACATACAAAAATTAGCCGGGTGTGGTGGCAGGTGCCTGTAATTCCAGCTACTTGGGAGGCTGAGGCAGGAGAATCACTTGAACCTGGGAGGCAGAGGTTGCAGTGAGCCAAGAACAGATCACTGCACTCCAGCCTGGGCATCAAGAATAAGACTCTGTCTAAAAAAAAAAAAAAAAAAAAGAGGCGGCTCTGGATTCACTCATAAGCTCTTTGGTTCTACCAAAAAGCAGTATTTGCTATAAAAATAAGAGATCTAAGACCAGTCTCAATAAAACTTTCCAAATTAGTGTTTAGTGCCAGAGAGAAAAGAAAGCTTTGGAATAAACATAAATAGCAACCAGATCAAAATGTGAAATTAAACAATTCATAGGCTTTGGATTTTGTCAAATGAAGGTTAAAATTCAAGTATCAGTTCTTATGGTTCCAGCCACTATAAATCTTATGTAAACATAAGAGGCAGAAACAGATTGGTGTGTAGAGAACGATTATTTGGGCTCAAGTTTTGTCTAAGAAACATAAATTTAATTATGACTCTTGATAACTATTTAATCCAAGCTGCTTTTCTTCAAATATTTTGTACTGTGTTTAGCCAGAAAATAAAATACAGATGAACTCTTTTTGTAAGGTGACTGTATTATAAACAAGACTAAAGTAGCAAGGCTAAACTTTAAGTGCAGAGAATAAAATTTGAATAGTACAAGAATACTCTTCAGGTAATATCTATAGCATAAGATCTCTAAATGCTTTTCTATCAGGTGGCAATGCCATCTAAAGTAATATTAACAACATAAACATATATATGTGCATACATACATAATACACACTTGTACATATGGGGGAAGGGAGAGGTAGGGGTGTGTGTGTGTGTGTGTGTGTGTGTGTGTATAAGGGAATGAAGAGAACGAATGAGAATGGGTACAAATCAAAGCAACCTTTTCTTGGGTTAATTATTTCAACTATAAAGATGTATCTCAACTTTTAAAGGAATTCCTGGTTTGTATTTAAATGTACTTTAAAAAGACCATAACACTCAAATTTAGTTGACAGGCTACAATGGGATTCAGAAAAGGACACAGTGAATATAGACTTAGGTGCAAGTTCATGCTGGTGATTTTTCTTTTTTAAAATGTAAGACACTAATATTTTAAGAAAAAAATTTAAACCAAATATTGCATATTAATATTATACACAAACTGAAACAGAAGTGACTTTTCGCACAGTGTACACATGCTTACATAAACTCAAACACATTTAAAACAATTTCCATTTAACACATGAAAGTTTTAAATACATAAAAGCATTAATATTTTCTAAAAAACTACAGTTAGAACATCAATTTGCTACAAGCATATAAAAACATCAAGTGCTTTCTTGGAGTTTCAAGTTTCCTCTCTAAAACACAATCTTGTTTACATATATAGTCCTTTTCCAATAATCAGGATGGACTTTTTTTTTCCTCAAGAGGTTTATTTTCCAGGTACATTATAAGCTCAAGAAAATAGACCCAACAATTACGCAATATAATAATGTCATAACAACTTAATTGCACATAATGCTTTAAAGTAGGTTTGGATGAAGTTCTCAAACACTTTGGTATATGATCTTCAGGGACTTCAATTAGAAACAACAGAAATTATAAGTCCCTTCAATCCCCATTTTGCTTTAAAATGGACAAGTCTTTGGTTAAAGTTCTACATTTTGGGCATTTATTTTTAATTAAGATGGTCCCCAAACCAATACACAGTACTGACGTATTACTAATTCACAAGACTTCATTCAATCTGCTTCTGATGCAGTGGGAGGTTACATACTCATTACTATAATATGTCATTGGATAGTTTCAATCTTTCACTTATAAGCAGAGAAATCAATAGGCTTACTATTTCTCTGTCAGTTCTGTTATAACCTAAACTGTACAGTAATTTGCAGTAACTATACATACTGTTCCACAGTATATGTGATTATGACTGATAAGACGTAGAGCATTAAATTTGGAGTTAGCTTATTCTGATAAGTCAATATTAGACTGTATAATAACTCTGCATTAACTATGGAAAGGTTGTTAGTTAATGCTTCTTTAAAAACCCCAAACCATTCCATTTACAAGAGAAATTGTTGCAAATGTATAAAACAGCAGATCTACAAGGAGAACACCAAACATACTTTATTAGCACAAAAAAGCAGCCATAACAAGGCACAGCAAGCAGAAACATACATTAGCAGTCAAAGGGTTAGTGTTGCATACAAATATAGCTTTTCTTTTTTTGTAGCCTTGGCAATAACCATAGGGATGTAAAATAACGTTCTGTAGCAGCAGGTAAGGAAACTATGGAGCACTCACCAGTGGTACAGAGCACATAAACAGAAAGACACAAGAATGGATTTGGCTACTTTAGTGCAAATGTCTAGGACAGAACTGTAAATTCAGTCCAGTTACTAAGAAGCAAACACTAGAACTTGATATAACTTCCAAAAGAGCTCACTCAAGTAGTAGTACATATTATTCTAAGTGACAAAAAGGTGCTAAGTAAAGTTATTTACAGATATAATGGTTGTACAGTACCTTTTAACTCTGCAATTTAGGTTTCAGATTTTCCATTAAGAATTAACTGCACTGAAAGTCCTATAAATTATACTTAAGCAATTCAGCTATGAGAGTTTACAAAAAAGAGATAAATACTGCCATCCAAATTATTAATTACAGTTCAACAATAATCTCAACATCAGCAACCATTGTAGTTACTATCATCTGATTTGTTTGGGCATCTTCTAGTCTCATGTACTTCATGGTTCACAAAATCATCCTGGGCATAGGAAAAGATCCAACTTTTACGAAACAACAATTAGACTGCACATCAACTTAAAAAAAATCACACGCAAGACTACATTGCAGCAGCTATTCCAAATGCCAGTTTTAAGTTAAAGCACTCACTTAAAAAATTAATACCTAGGGCCTTTCAATAAAATTCTACTGCTAGCTTTGTAAGTCTGAAATTTTAAGAATGACTATTTAGAAAATCTGGTTTACTTAACAGTACCTTTTGCAGAAGAGAAAATGTGTCTGATTATAAACTACATCAACACTGAAGTCAACTGCACTATGCCCTTGTGGCCAGAAAATTGCATTTTTTTCTAAAAGGAAGGCAGTCTTTTATTTTTTATTTTTTGGACTCCCAAAGCTTAATTTATAGTAACTACAAACATCACTACTTTTGGAAGGTTATAGAAAAACTCTTAGAAAAAATAATTTCAAACATTAGTCACACTGTTGAAATGCTCATCCAATATTAATAATTTGTTCTTCAGTAAGAAATAGAATTCTTCATAACAAATGCCCCAGAGTTGCCTCACTCAAATACTACAGCCATTAAAAACCAAACTGTTAGCGAAATCGGCAAAATGTTTTTGTAGTCTTACTGAACACCTGTAGCTCTATCCTCTATTGTTCCAATAGGCACCATGTTTATCTGAATAAGTAACAGCAGGTCACATCTGACAGATACTAACACTAAGCTTACATACTGTATGAAAAAGCCTAACACTGCTACGTGTGCTTGCTACAAGTGTACTGTCTGATGCACATGAAAGCGGACCTAGTTAACACCCTTTGGGGACAGGAGAGTTTACTTTGCCTTGACTGGTTCTCGTTCTAACCAGCGAACTCTAACTTTTTGTTTATAATGATATTCTTTTAAAAAATCCTGTAACATTGAGGGTAGAGGGAGCCCATCAATGCCATCATACGTAGTGCACCTGCAGATTACCGCACGGCAGATATACTGCAGGCTAAAAGGAAAAGTCCTATTTAGTGATATAGTAAGCAACGGTTCAAAAAACATGCATGAACTTGGATCTTTATAATGTTCTAAAAGTCCTGTTACAGTGGAGGAGTGAAATACACATGGGTCATGGGCATCAAAACTAAAGTTGTGATTCCACTGCTCAATTCGGGCATGCAGGGATCTGTTGTAACGTCGGAAGCTCACAGAGAAGAGGTAGTCCTCTTGCGCAGAGTCCCTGAGCAAAAACGTGCCTTCAGGTTTCCCTTCAAGAAGGGCTTCTGCTTCATAACGGTCCATCACTCCCCAGTAACAGGGATTCCCTGTAATTTGAAGCAAATCAGGCACAAGGCAGTGTATGTAATCAATCTGTGTGTGGACTTTCCAAGCTCCCTGTCTGCTAACATGGGTATGGCTGTCTCCAGATACCTGACGCTGCTTCTGCCTCCGTGACTGCAAACACAGGGTGGTTGCATCCTCTTCTGAGTCACAATTAGCTTGTGGAATTGCAGAACTGTCCCCACTTATTTCAGTCATTCCAGGAGCTAACTTTGGTCCCAGTTTATATAATGGATTAACCTGTGCAGTAGCTTCAAATGTATGTATTTGTGCATTGGGAGGGGGATCAACCCCTTCTTCAATACTAAGCCGCCTTCTCTCTCTAAGCCTATCTTCTTCATCTTCTGTAGAAACCAAAGATGGATCAAATGTATCAAAAAATGTTGAATGTGGGCTCACAGGAGCTGTATGCTGTTTAATCAAATGCCATTTTTGAGCTAAATCTGAACCAGCAGGAAAAGGGCATTTCTCAAGCATTAATTCAGAAAGATGGATTTTTCTTTTATTGGAAAAGAGAGGTTTCGACTGCTTGCTGTAAGTTCTCATGGGAAAACACAAGCCCACAGTATCCTGCAACCGCTGTCTCAGAGAACGACTTCCTACAGTTCTGCTGGAAACACTGTCCATGTCGTGTACAGAACTTACGCCATAGCGCCTCTCTCTCCTTTGAAGTCCACTTCGAGTTCTACCAAACTTTTTATCAGTATCTAATGAACTCTGGGTCTTTGTAGAACAGGAATGTTTTTTCTTCCCACCCCACGGAGCATGTCGAGAGTAGGAATCTCTTCGTGCAAGTCTTGTTCCTGGGGTAACACAAGAATCATTATCCTTTTCGATGCTTATTTCAACAATTTGAGGGATTTCAGTGGCACAATTTTGATTTCTCCTTGAAGAATTCCTTGAAGGGCTTAATCCCAGTTCTAAGGCAACATTTTCTCTTAAGGGACTGCTTTGTTGCTGAGGAGTTGAGTCTCCTATGCTGATGCTTTTCTCTTTGACAGACAAACATCTGTTGGAGTTCATGTCCACATTTTCATTGTGGCTTCCTCCCTCATGACTGAAGAGATTCTGACACCTGTATTTGAAGTTATTCCACATTTTCCCCACTTTATCCATTGATTATAAAATCTAAAGACAAAACAGGAAAAAGAGAAAAATAAATTAATCAAAGTAGCATGTGAAGGTAGCTAATGCAGTGCCCATGCCCCTTCCCATTCAGAATGTCAGTGATACTGGCCAAGAGTTCACTGAAGCAATGAAGTAGTTCACTGCCCTGCTGAAGTGATGAGGCGTGTGTTCTGTTGGGCAGCAGGAAGGCCACAGGGCCTTTTTGGCACTGACCTTGTTCAAGCCAGTCCTTACTTCCCATTTCCCTTCCAGTAGCATATTTTGAACTCAGGTGAAAGGAAATAAACACTCTTAAACTCTGGTTTCTTTTTCCTGTGCATCAACCTGTCTCCTTAATTTGAATATTACAAAGGCAAAATATGCTCCATATTGTTGAAACACACTTGTATACAGCTTTTCAAAATTTATAACCAGGAACACATTTGTGTAACACAGTAAAATTAGTTCAAAACCTTTAATTAGTAGCAATCTTCCTAACTGCACGTAACCAGTTCCTTGCAATTCTAAGGTTTACAGCTTCATCACTTAAAAAAACCCTTATCTTCCCTCTCACTCTATAGCATATCAAATGTATCCATGATTTTGAAGAATCAGTTTGAATACAAAAGAAAGAAACTACAAAAATAATTTTCTCTCTTTCTTTTCTTTTCTTTTTTTTTTTGAGATGGACTCTCATTCTGTTGTTCATGCTGGAGTACAATGGTGTAATCTCAACTCACTTCAACATCCACCTCCCAGGTTCAAGTGAATCTCCTGCCTCAGCCTCCCAAATAGCTGGGATTAGAGGTGCGCATCACCATGCCCAGCTAATTTTTGTCTTTTTAGTAGGGATGGGGTTTCACCATGTTGATCAGGCTGGTCTCGAACTCCTGACCTCAGGTGATCCACTGGCCTCGGCCTCCGAAAATGCTGGAATTACAGGCGTGAGCCACCATGCCCAGCCAGGAAAGGTGTCTTTAAACTTCCCAATTCTTAATCCAGGAAGAGTTTGGAAATTATAATAGAGTAATAGAGAAAGGCTATGATACCATAGTACTCACAAGAACAAAAACCAGAAACATACAATTTGGCACCTTTACTCTTGTTCCTTAAAAAAAAATCTAAAGCAGTTTATGACACTTTGCAAATAAATTCTTTTAAGACTACAGTATCAACAGGCACACAACAATATTAACAGTAACTAAATGTCAACATTAGAAGAAATGGAAAAACCTAACTTAAAATTCAATTGGCTTTGTCACATTATGATAGCAGAAAACTCTGGCTGATATCTTGCCATAATTTTGACTTATTATTTTTGTCATAAATGCTTGTATTTTCTTGAAGTTGAGTAGGGATAAGAGAACAACAGAGAACAAACTTTCTTAGAATGAATTGTAGGTATTCCCATTAGTTTCTCACAGAAAAGGCTCTTGGATTAATGGAAACACAGCACAGAAAATTAATATCTGTGATATCATAAAATGTACTTTCAGATGATTTAATTCTTTATTAAAAGCATACTGTCAGGCACATATGGAGTTTGCATGGTAGTTAGTATATATTAGAATAAAATGTATTAGGCAAAACTGTTAAATCTCAGTAAAGTCTATTTCAGAACACTGCCTCCTCTGTCTTGCAAAAATCTTTTTTGTAAGCCTTTTTATGAGGTTTACGCCATTTGAACTTCACGTGCCTTGTTATCATTTATTATCCTTCTTAAATTAAGATTTCAGTTCCTTGCCCATAGTCCTGTTAATGCAGCCTAATTCCTGCCATATTCTTGGTGACTCCATTATCTTGGTATATGTTCTCTTCCAATATCCTAGCCCTTTTCTATCCTAGTTTCTTCTCATTTATTTTAAAGTTGCTTTTTATTTTTACTTAATTTATATATTGGTAGTTTCAAGGTCAAATACCACTACAAAGCTCTTAACAAAAAATAGCACCACCCACCATGTGGCTACTAGAAAATTTAAAAGTAACACATGTGATTCAGGTTATATTTGCATTGAACAGTACTGATGGAGAGCAAAGGCCAGCGAACCAAAGCCTGAAGGCCAAATCTGGCCCATAGCCTGTTTTTGAAGGGATCCCAGCTCAGAAAAGTTTTTATATTTTTACAGGAATTAAAAAAATATATACACACAAAGAACATTTGACAGAGACCACATGTAGTCTGCAAAGCCTAAAATATTTTGTATCTAGCCCCTTTCAGACCCTAATCTACCTATTTAAGATAAACCACATCACTCTAGACACTAGAAGAGCCATAATCAAGAAGTCCAATAATTTAACTCTCTTCTCCATGTTTACAGATTTTGGAGCGATCTAAAGATACTTCTCTGACAAGCAAATTATATCCCAAATAACCTAAAACCACTCATCTCCTTACATAGATCTTTGTAAGTTGTATGAATGAATATGGTATGCAGAAAACATTTGTACTTGCCAGGGTACAAAAGGCAGTTTCTAACACTGAACTCTTGGTTCGGTTTCACAGAGCATGAAATTTAGTTATTTCTCTATTCTTACTCTGGAGCATGTTATCAGATTGCACTGTGACAGAATATTCTAATTTAAAGAAAGGCATTACGCTCCATACTCCATGGGGAAAGATAAGTTGATTTTCTTGACATGTGAAATGTGATATGGGCAGTTGTACTATTAGGAAGGAAAAAATACTGACAGTAATTCATAGACTAGTCGACATAAGAATCAGGAAGGCATTTCAACTATCTTGGTATTAACAATGTGTCAGATTCAAACTTCTTTTGTTTTGCTGAGTTTTTAGAAATGTGTTTCAGATAGAGTTGAAACCCTTTGAGATCTAAATGTCAACTCTATTACTTTATGGTTTTATATAAAATTATACAGGGGCTAAAAAAGTGTTAAATTTCAATTGCTTTGATTTTAGAATAAAAGTTTATCATCCATTACAATCTCTTATATTTCTACATATGCTTAGCTATTCTTAAAACTATCCAAAACAAATTTCTAAAAAGTTATTCTTTCCCCAAAGGAATAATAAGTTAAAACTGATTTTATAATGTTTTTGGAAGTTAACTAGCTTTTGTTGAAAAATTAGATTTAACCAGATAAGCTATAAATTAGAACTACGGAAAATTAGGTCACATTCCCTCACAACATAAATTTACATACATAAAAATGAAATAGTACAGTCAATGGCCCTTGTTAATACCAAGTAGTATCTATTACAAAATTTACACAAAACAAAATAATTGAAATAGTTCCCAGGAGTTTATTTCAATAGGACTTAACCCTTGCTTTGAGAAGTAAGTTTAACATGTTTTAAGAATACATTGAGAGAACTATTATACTTACATAATTATGACAGTTATATTCTTAAAATATATAGTTAAATTATAACATAACAGTTACATTCTTAACGTTGAATGCCATAAAGAGGAAGAATGTGACAACTCAATTCCTTCCTCTACTATTCAATCTATCTAGACTTCTTAGTCATAACACCTTTCCCACAGAAAGTCCTTCAGTTACAGTAACAGAAATTGTGGCATTTAGGTTGATTAAAAGTATTTCTGTATCAAATTCAGGCACGAGAGGCAGTTTAGGAGACTAGTTTTAATTGATATTTTGGTGGCATTTCAATAATTTTTAGAAAAAGATAATACAACATTTGACAGTAAAACTGACCCAGAATTTCAGGAATGTGTGGCTGTCATAGCTACAGCTTCGTAAAAAGAATTCTAGAATCACCTGGACTTTTAAAAATGATTTATTTTTAATTGTTATTTACACATCATATTGTGACATGATCTATTATTATCTAATTGGATGGCCATTTATCTTTTATACTGTTAATTTAATATTAGGTTGAACCATATAAAATTGCTATTTTGTGGGTAAAAAATGAACATATAATTCAACCTCAGAGTTACACTATTACAGTTTACATAATACATTAATACAGTAGACCATGTACACTCAAAAAAAGGTGGAGCCCTCTAATCTAGTATACGCAGACACTTGTGGTTCCCAGCAGTTGAGTTACACTTTTAGTTACGTTAGGTACCAAACCTGTTCATGCCATTTATATTACTGTAACTATGTGATTTAATTAAATGTTAATTAGCCTAATGAAATATGGAAGAGTGGGGAGTTGGATAAAGTTAAGTGATTCTGAAATACTCAATAAAAGTGAAATACTTATGCTGCTGAATTAGGTATAGGCCAAGAAATTAGTTCAAAGAAATGGAAAAAATACTGCAAAGATCTACAAAGATTCTAAACTGAGAATTCATCTGAAGAGCCTAAATTCTTGTTCTACTTAAAAAACTCAAACTGGAATCTTACATAATATATTATGGGCACGGATTCCCCAATATAGACAATATGGATCGACAACTAGTAGACCTACTCTGAAAGAAAAGGCCTTGGCTCTTTCAGTAGTGTTTGAACCAGAGCAACTCCATCTTGAATAGGGCTGGGTAAAATAAGGCTGAGACCTATTGGGCTGTATTCCCAGGAGGTTTGGCATTCTAAGTCACAGGATGAGACAGGAGTTGGCACAAGATACAGGTCACAAAGACCATGCCGATAAAACAGATTGTGGTAAAGAAGCCAGCCAAAACCCACCAAAACTAAGATGACAACCAAAGTGACCTCTCTTTGTCCTCACTGCTCGTTATACGTTGATTATAATGTATTAGCATGTTAAAAGACACTCCCGTCAGCACCATGACAGTTTATAAATGCCATGGAAACATCACGAAGGTACCTTACATGGTCTAAAAAGGAGAGAAACCCTCAGTTCCAGGATTTGCCCACCCCTTTCCTGAAAAACTCATGAATAATCCACCACTTGTTTAGCATATGACTAAGAAATACCAAAAGTATACTCAGTCAAGCAGCCCATGCTGCTGCTCTATGGAGTAACCATTATTTTATTCCTTTGCTTTCTTAATAAACTTGTTCTCTCTCTTCTATATTGACTCACCCTTAATTGTTTATTGCGAAGGTCCAAGAACCCTCTCTTG